CCTTGTCCTAAGTTCAGACGGTCCTTCCCCAATGGAAAGTGCAATTGGGATAGGGAACAAGAAAGTGGTCACAAATCTCGTCAAGGTAGACTGTTGCGGACATTTCCAGAGGTAAGACATCTTGAAGGAACAGAAACACGAAAATTCGTTGGCCAGATTGTTCTACCGCAAAATAAACAATAATTTACGGTTTCCTGAATCAGCACACTGTTCTAAGCCAGCACGCTGTTCTACCGCAAGAGACAATAATTTCACGGTCACCTGTCCCAATTGTATATCTAAGTCAAAAGAAATTAATAATAATAAGAGACATAAGTTTTCTAATTCTATTTGTTGTTCTATTTTGAATGTGATGACATCCTAACTCAGGTACCGCAACTCCAGGCCAGCATGATCATCAACAAACACAAGTGAGTACGCAGGCCCACAACACAACCAGACAACAGGTAAGTCCGCTAACAAAATCAATCAATAGTTAGTGTTTTCCCCTTCGTGCTGTTTCGTCCTTCTTTGTCCTGTGTGACCAGCACCCAATCTGACGTTCGGCACCACAGCCACGTCAGTCTTCTTGCCGTGCCGCTTCAGTCATTAGAATGCTGTCCTCACTTAGGCACGGTCGTGCCTGCCACGTGTCACCCCTGACCTGCCAACTCAGCAACTCGATGAGTATGCCAGGTCAGCAGGTCTAATCAATATCATCAATGGGGTGCACGTCAGCAATGTATGCTGAAGTCGAAGTACCAGCCTGCCACAAAGTCGAAGTTCCAACCTGCCACGTGTATCCCCTGGAGTGCCAACTCAGCAGCACTTCTGTCTGCCAGGTCAGCACCAAGGTCTAGTCAGCATCATCGAGGGAATACACGTCAGGAGCAGTACCAACGTGCCACGTAAGCTAGGTAGCGAAATATGACCCTGCCACGCCAGCCTGCTATCTCACCGAATGGTGAGTCAACAATGCCACATCATCAATCTGCTATCATCCATCGGCCACGTCAGCGTTACAATGCCACGTCAATGCGGCGTCAGCATCGGACATGTGTACCAAGGCCACGTCAATGCCACGTCAATGCCATGTCAGCATCGGACATGTGTACCAAGGTCACGTCAATGCCACG